CTGGCTAGAGCAATGACAGCCGAACAGAGTACAGGTTCAGTTGCTAGCATTTCAAAAACAAATCGTCCCTCATCAATCCTGGGAGACAGATGAAACATCTGACTTACCACCTCAAAATTAAAGATATGAAACTTAGCACACATTTTTCCTGCAATAACGAAAAAAAATATTAGTTTTATGCTGAAAGCACCTTTGCACACGAGTGCATCTCTTCTTAACAATGAGCTGTAGGCTTCCTGCTCAAAAGTACCCAAAAAACAACCATAAGGATCCTGAAAGTCCTCGTGTTGCATTTCATTCCAAGTTTCTGTGTGAAGTTTTCTGGAATCAGTTACTGGATCAATTGTCCCAGCAAATCAGAAGATGTAACATTACCAAATTAATCTCTTAATAGGAAAAACTGGAAGTTATCCAAAAAAGAAACATAATTTAGGTATATATCCATAGCTTTATGTAAATGAGTTGAAGCAGAATCCCCCCCATGGCATATATGCCCAAATTATAATCTTAAGTTTTTCCTCTCCCCCTACCTGTTGCAAAAAGAAAGATCAAAAACAAAACGAGTGTTAACTACGGTTACTTACTATGTTTGAAATCTCGACAACTTGTCAAGAGTGTTTGCTAAATTCAGGTTTAGTAAAAACTTCTTAATTTAATGGGACTACGGGGTATACCTTACTGAGGAATAAGCGCCTTGTGTCCACTAGTAAGATTTAGGTGGAACTAAGCATAAGTCTGACGTGAAATCAGTCCAGGGGCAGGACACATGCCTCTCCCCGAGTCCAGGGCTGTGCTCCTGGCTTCCTCAGAATCTTCACAATAACTCACATCTCTGGACAATGAGGCAATGAGCACACAGCTTTTTATTTAAATAGTCTGCTGAGTCCACCTCATTTCTGCAATTGTATGACAACAGGCAGCTGGGAGTTTAGAATTGCTCCAAAGATCAATTGGATTGTTTTCATACACAGTTTAGTGTCAGACTGTGTGTGTGTGTGTGTGTGTGTGTGTGCATGTGTGTGCGTGTGTGTGTATTGAGCAGTCCTTCCAGAGTACGTTAACATAAATGAGACTCATTAATTAGTATGAGACAACACAAAATCCAACATAGAAATGACCCATCTGATTAAAGACAGTTGTTCACAACAGGTCAGAGTGATGAATAGTTATCCTATGAATGGGATAGTTATCCTATTTTGAAACGGTAAAAATAAATAAATCTTGGAAAACGTAACATTGCCATCACAAATTTCACACTTCTGTTTTTTTCTTACAATTTGCATATTTTCATCAACAATTAGTTAAAATTCCAAGGCTACTTTTGATTACATTTATTGTAAGTTAGATGTTAGTCCTATTTCATATATCACAGTTGAGAATGGTGTGGATTTTACAATATTATCACTTCTCTCTTTTTCTCTTTTTAAACATTTAGGCTGTTCTTAGAAGCCTGAGCGTTTAAAATGAATACAAATTTGCTGTTCTGATATGCACAGCCTCAAATTGCTATCATGCATATTTATGACTGCGAAGTACACGTATCGGAAGCAAAAGACCTAGGAAAACATAACAAACAACCCTCACTCATCTCTCCTCCACCCTAGGTCTTTCTGGATGTAAACACCAAACATAATACCTACAAAATATACCTTAAAAGGCAGGGCTGGCACTTTCCTTTGGGATGGGTCAGAAGCCATCTTTCCAGTGTGTCTGGAAACATTCCCTGGTGGTCTCTCAGAGTGCCAGAGGCCATGTCTTTTGACGGGCTTGCTTACTGGCGGTGACCCTTGGCAAGCCCAGCCAAGCTGGGCACACATTTCCAGAAAAAGAGGACGTTCTTGTGGTCTCTCCTTGTGGTGTCAAGTAGGATGTGCTCCAGAGGAGAAGCAAGCTCCCCAGAGCCCAGGATGCCTCTTTCCTTCTAGAAGACATGCAACGTTCAACTTGTGGATGAGACCACAGCCCGGGGGCCGACACTAGCACATCACAGAAAGTAAGTGCAAGGGTTTCTCTAGTGATATTGTTAGGTGTGAGATATTGAAAAAAGTTCTTCCCTCAATCATCCAAGCCCCTCTCAAAACCCAGTACGGCGGAAGCATTGCAAATAGCACTATCAGCAATTTTGTACTACCGGACAGCTAGCTCATTTAGAACCATGCTCTCAACCAACAATTCCAGACCCAGTCGCAGGTGGCTGCTCTTTTTATACTTTCTGTTGCATCATCTGCACAGATAGGCTCAATTCTCACTTCAGAAAGGAAACCCACAGCTCCTAGGCTGGCAGTCATTATGCATGAAATACGGAAACTACCTTGCTCCAGAATGTTCTCCTTGAGGAATTTAGCATGGGACTACAGTTTCTAAAGATTTCACAGAAAGTATGTTCACCTATCAAACAAAAAAACCAAGATTCTTATCAAATGTCTTTGCTTAGGACTAAGAATAAAATAATTAAGTATAACAAAATACTTAATATAAAAGTATCTTATGCTTTGTACGCACCATTCAGCATAATGGAAATACCCTGTCCCCTGACCAGGATATATCTGTAAAATGCACAAACATAGGGGTAATATGCTCTAATATTTTGAGTAATGAACACTCAAAACAAAGCTAAGGCCCTTGTATTGTCCCAACCCCCAGGAATATATTTTTAAAATAGTTAAAGACAGTCAGGGCTGTGAATGAGCAGCTATTTTCCTTCTGATTCCTATGGTCTAAATGAATTGTGTTGAATTTCAGGTGGACACTGGCTTGCTTGCTAACTTGGGTCTACTTTTAGGTCCAGTATTTTATTTCTTGAGAGTCAGATAGGATAAGAACATGGCTTATTACAACTACGTGTTACCGTCTCTTCTATGGAATCAGCTTTGGGGAAGTCTTAATTTTCATGATGGAAAACTAGTAAAAGAAGACAGGATGGAGGAGAAGCTGAACATAGGTGAACATCCCCCTTAGTACTGGGATCCTCTTCCTGCCGTGGACAGCTGAAAGAAAGGATTCCTAACACAAGTCATGTGTGTTCTACAGGACAACAGGCCCACAGTCCCTTGAAGATTTAGAAGAGCCCCACCATTTGCCACTTGACACTTGTACTTTGCCAAGCACTTACCAGCTTTCTAGGTGAGTCAACCCAGAAACACAGTGCAAATACCTGGCCACACAGCAAGTGCACAATCATTTTACTTTCCAAGCATAATCCTCAGCACCCCAGGAGAGAAAGTAATGTGCTCGCTCGAGGAAGAATACAGAACAGAGAAGTTTATTTTACACTATCCGTCCAAAGAAAACAATCGCCATAAACCAGTGCAAAATGTGCAACAGACTCAGTAAGTGTGTCCTAGCTCTGAAAGCCCAAATTGGTGATTTCCTCTCTGGTCCCTCCACTGGGCGGGTGCCCCATGGACTAACGCTGGTCTCAGTTTGCACCACAGACAGAAACATTCAACCAATTCGTAGCAGGTTGTTTTTACAATTCATACCAGAGTGTGTACAAGGGACGGGAAAAACCATACCGATGGATGAGAAGTGGTCAGTGTTGAAAGTAAATATGAGGGACTGCACGGGCAAGAATCCACAGTTTCAATAAATACAGTGTAACAAGCATGGGTGTATCTCAATTCAGTGGAATTAGTCTGCATATTAATTCAGCATCATACAAAATCTAGCAAAGCTATTGAGTGGTGATTGGCAAAAATGTTCACAATAACTTACGCCCTTGAGCAAGTCTGTGTTTATCCTGTGGCTTCAAAGGTATCAGTTTTCTGGTCTTCTTCCCTTGCCATCCCTCCAGGAGGGAAGGGGTGGAGACAGGTCAGCTTGGCTGTGGTGTCCTGTAAGGAAGGACATTTGCCCAAGAGCCAGCCTTCAGGGTCCAGTGTATTTGATACTGAGCGGCAAATTGGGGCTTTATCGACGATGTCTGTGCAAAGTGCGCTTCTCCCCTTTTCAAGAAACCAGTGTCTATAACTCCTTCACGGAAAGCAGTGGTAGCTTCTGGGTTACCCCCGTCACCCGAAATGCCAAGCAACAAGAACACATCTTAGGGACTCAAAGTTGGGGAAGCTTCTACGTTGACTGCCTGGTGCCTCATGGATGGATAGTTTAACCAAGCCCCCTCGTCAAAGGCCTTGGGCAAGCTGGAACTATTGCTTGAAAAACTAGAAAGAACCTAGTGAGAAGTGATGGTTGTAATGGACATGTCGGAAGTGGTCTTCTTCCTTGGAAACCTCGTGCCCCCCTACTAGGGGGCCCCTGGTAGCTCCCACAGGGCTTTAGAGGCATCCTCGGCTCTAAAATGTCATGCATGTTCCTGGGGGCCTTGCCCATCTGTTGCTTCAGTAAGCACTAAGTCCAGGCATGTTCCAGTGTGCCTGAGATCAATTCCAGGAGACACTGCAGGCAACCTTTGGATCATGGACTAATCCAGAGCCCAGTGAAAGAAGATGTAACAGAAGCTCTTGATCTCTGGAAGGAAAGGAAAAAAAAGGAGGGACCCGCAAAACAAAGCAACCCCCAAACCCAGTAACCTAAGGAATCACCTCAAAACAAAACAAAATCCCAAACACTCCCTTACAACCAATGCACCCTCTCCTCTCTACTTCTTCGACAGTCTCAGGTCATAAATTAGATTAGTCTTCCATCAAATAACTTAAAAAAGGAGGAGGAATTGTAACAAGTTGTGCCTGGCTTGGGCCAGTTAGCAGCCAGTTTTTCTAGAATTTCAGTCACTGTTCAAAAATGGAGATTGAAAAGTCACGTGGATGTTGGAAGTCTTCATATGGAGGAGTCAGGAGGGGTGGGCAGGCGAGCGGGCTGGTGGGACGTAGGACCCAAGGAGCGAGGGATGAGGCGGGGAGCCACTGCCCCCAACAGGAGTGGAGGCCTAAGGACAGCATGGCAGAGACTGACTGACGCCTGGCCCAGGTCATGTGACTCGGTGTGGCCGGGTCTCATATTGCACAGAGAGAAGGAGCAGGCCTGGGCAGACTGCCGGTGGATCAGTGGTCCCCGCACATGGGCAAGTTCACAAAGGTGAACACGTTGAACTCCGTCATGATGGAGAAGCACAGGAACACGCCATATAGGAAAAGACACACACAACCGAGCTTCCTGTCCAGCTGCCACTTGTTCAAGTGGACACCAAATACCTGCAACAACAGAGCCCGGAGTCAGAGGCGGTACTGGGAGGGGCAGCCACAGCCCGATGGTGGGGGGCAGCTCAGGGAAAGGGCCAGCCAGGCGGACGGTGGGCAGGGCGCCATTCTCTCTGAGGCCACAAAACCCATCTTTCAGATTGTGAATGGTCAAAATCAAGGAGAGTGAGAGTTGGAGCTACTGGTTGAGAGAAATGACTTAAAAAATTAAAAGTGATGGGATTAATAACTGTAGTACAGCAGCCACCACTCACCCAGAATCTAGTCCCCACACCCTCTAGGCCTGGCATCACCTGTTCTCCTCCACCCTCCCCACGCCCACCATCTTTGGAAACATTCCATTCTCCATCTGGCTCTCCCTGGGGGAAATGTTTCCCCACAACCCTCTCAGGTGTGGATACTCCTCTTCCACATTCCTACCCTGGAGGCAAGAAAGTCTTCCTCTTTCCTCCTCATCGGTGCTTCCAAACCACTTTCCTCCTCTCCTCCCTATAAACACTGGATTTGGAATCTAAGTCTTTCGATTGTCACTCTCCCTCCCTCCTGACTGCAGTCTACCCTCCAATCCTGGGCAGACCCCACTCCCTGGAGATTCTGAGTGCCTGCTCGTGGCCACACTCTGCACCACTCTGTCACCGTTCTTAGTGATTTCAATATCTAGCATCTTGTTCTCTCAAGTGCTGGTCCTCCTCCCTACCTCAGCCACTCATGCCCAAGGTCACGCCCCAGGACAAGCTGTCCAGTATGGGGTCCGCTAGCTGCATGTGGTGATTCAAATACAAATTAATTAAAATAAATTTAAGTTGCATTAGCAGTTACACTAGCCACATTACCCTGTTGGACAGCACAGATACAGGCCATTTCCATCCTCATAGAAGTTCTACTGGACAACCCTGCAGCCTAGATCTTGCCATTATTAATAACAGAAACATCTCTGGAATCTCACTGTCAAACATCTGACTTTCTGACCACCATCTCTGTCTTTCCACCTCACTCCCTCTGGTACACCAGCTCCAACAATCCTGTGAAACCCCTACAGCTGACAATTCACTGGTGACCACTGTCTCACAGTGCTTCACCCACCTGGTGTCCTGCTTAAATCCCACCAGCAATCACTCCCTGGCATCCACCTCAGTCCCTGGCCCCTTCTAGCCTTGTCATCCTTGTTTGGTTGAGCAAGGCTGAACCCTTGGGTTCAAGCCAGCTCTTCCTCTACCCCATGCCTGCATCCATGCAGCTGAATGAGGCTGGAGGGAATGCCCAGCCATGCTGACCAGTCTGACTCTAAATTCAGGACCGCAAGCCTTAAGTGGTCATCAAGGCTCTCTGGCAATCATGGTATACTTCCCTCATGCCCTCTCTCTCTCACTTTCCTAGATGACGATTTCACAACTCTCCTGTTTTTTTAAACCTCCAATGCTCCCTTCTCGCCCTCACTCTCAGCTCACGAACTTGTTCCTGTTTTCCCGAGCTCGGAGCACCACATTGACCCCCACCTCCTCTATTAATGAGGGCCCCGGTATGGCCAACTCCTCCACTGTGAACTTGGTCCCGTCTCCCCTCACTGTTCCAGCACTTCTCCCCTCTCTTTAATCTATACCTGCTCCCCGCCAAACACTGGATTATTACAACTGGCATATAAGAATGCTCTTATTTCTCTCATCTTAAACAACCACTCTTTTTCTTGATTTCCATTTCTTTCCTTCCTTTACAGAAAGATAACTTGAAAGAGTTGTAAGTACAAGCTGTCTCCGATTTTGCTCCTTCCATTCTCTGTTAACCTTCTCCACTCAATCTTCTAGCCCCATCGCTCCACAAAAAACAGCCTTATTAAGAGCACCAATGACTTTGCATTTCTAAATCTAACAGCCATCACTCAGGGCTCATTTCAGCCATCAGCAGTATTTGACACAGCTGGTCACTCCCTCCACCTTGACACCCGTTCTTCACTTGTCTTCCAGGCCACCACACTCTCCTGGCTTTCCTTCTACCTCTCTAGCTGCTCCTTCTCTGCTACTCACCATCCTGACCTCTAAGTATTGGAGTATACCAAGACTTGGATCTTGGGTCTCTTGTCTTTTCTGTCTACCACTCACTTCTTGGCGATCTCATCCAATTGCATGGCTTTGAATACCATCTATAATCTGGTGTCTCCATCCTGGACCTTTCATCTGGGCTCATGTTTCCAGTGTCTTTCTTGACCTCTCCCTTGGGTGTCAAGAGGTACTTCAAACTCAAAATGTTTGCGATGGTTTTCCTCCTCAAGCCTACTTTCAACAACCCAATTTCAACATCCCAGGTAGTGCTTGGCTAAATCTCCAATAGATTCTATGACTATAGCACAGTATAAAGAGAAGTGATGATCAAGCACAGTGGTTATGAGTGTGGACTCTTGATGTCAGACAGCTTGCTCCTCCACTCTTGGTGCTAATGTAGAGGAATCACTTAACTTCTCAAGGCCTCAGCTGTTCATCTGTATAATGGTACAGACAATAGTGGCTACCTCATGGTGGTATGGTGAGCTAGACATGGGAAGATATGTGCAAAACAGTACAGTGCCTGGCATTCAGTGAGTGCTCCAAATGCTGGCTATGACCACATTATACCAGACCTGAAGAACATCCTAAACTATGAAAGAACAAATTATGTAGATTTTTGTTTCTATGTAAGGCATATTTACTTTGAAAAACTCTGACATTTGACTCATACCCTGATCTTAAATTACCTCTCTTGCTTTCTGCCTGCCCTTCTGAATTCTCATTCTCTGGCATATCTATGTTAACAACATGCAGGTGTAATTCAATGAATATTTCCTTGAAACATTAAGGAAAAAACATATTGCTTCTCAGTGCTTATTAGTGTGAAAATGCAACAGTATACGTGTATATTAATGGCTACTTCATGTGGGTCATCCATGTGCTGGTATGAAATTTGTTCCCTCCAAATATGTCAGTTGAATTGGGAATATTAAATTATATAAATGAATGCATTTGCCAAGATAGTGGAATGCCATAGAAATGCACTGTGAATAAACTAAGTACATTTTTAATCTCTGAGTACTGGTCAAATCCATGTATTTTGTGGGTTTATTTATTTTTATTTAGCCACCTGGAATAGTCAATTAATTGGAATATACCCTATTGTGACAAGCCTTGCAGAAAAAGTGGAATCTCCCCTCTGCTTTTGATAAACAATTTGTGCTTGACATGAGACAGGGCCAAGCTTCCCAGAGGAGGGCTGGCTTCCTTTCAGAAAAGGAGAAAGGCTCCCTAGTGGTTTGGTTGGATCCACTTCTAAAAGAAACAGACACAAGACAGGACATGTGGAGGCCGGTGCCTCCCACTCACCAGGAGGCCAAACCCATCTGGTGTCCAAACAAATGCTGTAGCCAAAGAACCCAAGGGGAGGCGAACATGTGAACTCAGGAATGAGGAGAGAGCTGCAAACCTACCGTGAAAAAAACAGAGGCCAGGAGCAAGCCCACAGAGTAGATCAGTCCCCTGCTATTCAGGTGAATCTGTAACAAAGGATTACAGAGTGAGGCTTCAAAAAGTCATCTGCTTAATACACGGCACTCAGGCAACTCCGAGTAGCATTGATTCCAAATCCCTCCTCTAGGCTGGAAAAGCTAAGGGAAGCCCCAGCACCCACGTTCTGCAGCTTGTTATCAGGGACGTACTCTTTCCTGAAATACTGAAGGCACGACCTTGTCTTGGTCCACTCTCAGCCCAGTCCTTGTCCTTTACCCTCACAATGATGCCCCATCTGGGACTGTCCCATGGCCACTTTAATTCTCCACTGTGTGCTGCATGGTTCTTGTCACCCAAAACACTCCCCTGTTGATTTGACCTCCAGGGAACTTCCCCTTTCTTGAACTCATACTACTTTTCGGGTGAATTTCATGACATTGGTGATGGGAGCAGTATTTTGGATGGATTTTTAAATCTCTTTTGCATGAACATGTCTGTGACCTTCCTCCTAGCTTGACAGGAAAAGGTGGATAAGGTTGTTATAGTGAAAAAGAAAATCCAAAGAGTTAAAACTCTGTTTCTGGTATTTGTAAAAGGATTGTTTGTTTTTCACTGTAACACAATGGGGCTAACAGCCATGCTTTCAAGAGAAAGAGAGAAACAAGTTTTGGAAATCACACAGACCAGCTCTGTCCAGTAGAACTTTCTGTGATGATGTGAATGTTCTACATCCGCACTGTCCAATACGTTAGCCGCTAGACACATGTGTGAGCCCTGGTGGCCCAGTGGTTAAGAGCTCAGCTGCTAACCAAAAGGTCGGCAGTTAGACTCCACCAGACCCTCCTCGGAAACCCTATGGGGCAGTTCTACTCTGTCCTATTGAGGCATGATGAGTTGGAATCCACTTGCTGGCAACGGGGCTTTGGTTAGACACGAGGCTATGGAGCACTTGAAATGTGGCTAGTGCAACCAAGGAACAAAACTTTTCATCTTGTTTAACTTCAATTAATTTAAATTTACATTTAAAGAGCCATATGTGTGGCTACAGTGTTAGGCAGAGCAGGCAGAGAATATTAAGAGGCTGACTTGGCCAACAAAGATCATGGAATCCCGTCCATAGTGCAGAGAAGACACCATTCTGTCTTTGACCTGGTCACGAGGTGTCAGAAATAGAAGGGTGTGCCCTGGAGCAGTAGTTCTCAAACTATGGTACCTAGATCAGAATCACCTGGGAGCTTGTAAGAAATGCAGAATCCCAGGCCCGACCCCACACCTACCCATTGCTGTCAAGTTGATCGGCCCTATAGGACAGGGTGCAACTGCCCCACAGGGTTTCCAAGGCTGTAAGTCTTTATGGAATCAGACTGTCACATCTTTCTCCCATGGAGCAGCTGATAGGTTTGAACCACTGACCTTTCAGTTAGCAGCCCAGCCCTTAACCACTAGGCCAACAGGGCTCCTGTACCCCAGGCCTACTGTATTTGAAATCTAGGGATGCGAGGCCCATCAATCTGTGTTTAACAAGCCCTCCAGCTGATCCTGATACACAACAAAGTTGAAGAATCACTGACTTAGAGAAAGCACAAATCCTAAATCCACTCCGTCTGGGCTGCAAGGGCTCTGGGGATGTGACTTTGGCATATATTTTTCACAAATTCTCTTGGAAACTCTTACGGGCATCCAGGCTTTGGGGATACAGCCCATAGTCACTGCACACTGTTCTGCTGGTGGTGAACAGCTCACCTGTGTTCATGGGAAGGAAAGGTGAGGTAGGTTGATTTGTGCAATCATTTTCATTAGAAAACTCTGTGGGGCTCATGAATAGGTGTGATTTGGGGTCCTTCTGACAAGGTGTGCTACCTCATGCTTCCGTTTCACCAGGGACCTGTCCTATACGGAATGTGTATGTGAACATGTGGGGGTCTCCACAAGCAGTGTGTTAGGTCATCGTTTAGTGACAGGACACTGGATGTTCTAAACAGCCAACCCCTTCTTTGGGGACCCAGGAGCATAACACATCTCACTAAGCTATGCTGTGTCACAGAGGGAATCAGCTGTAACACTTCTCTCTGCCTGCGGTTCCCTGGGTGGCAGCCGCCTACTGGGAAATGGTTCCCAACCACCAAATACCTTCTCAAGAATAAAGTACTTGTAGTAGTCCATAGAGACGTAGTGTTTCAAATCATGCCTCTGTGACACCAAAGCAAGGGTTGATCTGATTAATTCTGTGGGAAAAGTGGGGGATTGCCTTGTCCCAGTCCAGATGGTAACGTACAGACCTTCACGCAGACATTCAGCCTGGTTGGTCCTGGGTTTTCCTCCTTGATTCGGCTGTGTTGACACAGAGAGGCTAGTACTGATGAACACCTTGCAGATGCATTGTCATGAAAGGGATTCTCTCCCCCTAAAATATTCTGTTCAAACCAGTTCTGTGATGATCTCACAGGCACCCTGGTCAAGGCTGAAGGAGAGAGGTGGCTCCTCAGAAAAAGATGGTGGCCCCAAGCCCTGTGAGGAAGAGCCTGCAGTGGCTGTCCTCAATCACGCAGTCCTTGGGACCAGCCTGGAACACCAACACTTGGCAATCCCTTTGCACTCTTAGTTTTCAGCATGCACTGATTCTCCTAAGACTGGGGGCAGCACATTCCCGGCTGTGTTTGCCCTCTGAGCTCTGGGGTCCAACCCTTCCCAGAAACAAGAATTGAGTCAAGTGCCTTCTTGCCCTTAAGAGACCGAGACCAGAGAGCAAAGTTCCAAGCAGGAAGCTTCTCTTCGACTAAGCCTTTTCCAAATTAATCATGTTAAATCCTAGCTTTTGAATTTGACTCTTCCTACATTCACATAAAGTTTAGAAGCACAGTGCTGCTGACAATTTAAGTCTGGCTCCGAACTAATGATAATTAATTCTTTTGTGGGGTTCAGGGTATTTTTCATGTCTTCACCTTCTTCTCTGCCACCTTCCTTTGGTAAGGGACAGCTAAATGCACCCAGGGGTGCGTCTCTGTTTTTCATTGTTAATTTGAGGCCTGGCCCTCAAAGTATCCATTTATTCCTTGCTGACTGACCCCCACAATTCCACAGGAGACGGCAGTCAGGGATTAGGGTTCCTTCTGTTGCCTTTTGGTCCAACTCAAACACCACCCAGCCCCTGGGGTCTAAGAAGTTGTATTTTGGGGAAGTGACTGGCACACTACAGCCCGCAGGCCACAACCGTCCTGTCACCTTTTTTATTGAAACTGAGCTTATCAGTTTACTTACTGTCTATGAATACTTTGTGCAAAATGGCAGAGTTGAGCAGTTTTGACAGAGAAGGTATGCGGCCTACAAAGTTGAAGAGGTTTACTCTCTGCCCCTTTAAAGAAAGTGTTTTCTGACCCCTGGCTCAGGGCATGGGCTCCAGAAGAAACCTCTGGATTTGGAATCCCCACTCGGCCACTCCTTTGCATATAATCATGGACACAAGATTTAACTTCCCTCGGCCTCAGCTTTCTGACCTGTAAAATGGGAGCAATACCGCTCCTACCTTACGGTGTGGGTGTGAGGATTAACTGAATTAATCCACATGAAAAGCCTTGAACAGGTCCTGGCATGTCACGAGTGCTCAGTAAGTGGGGACCATCATTCCCAGTCTGGAGTTCCCCACCCACTTCCCTGGCACCCCTTGCTTCTTCCGTAATTAACTCATCACACAGTGGCTCCCTGATCATGCCTCACTGCATTGCAAACACCACGAAGGCATGGACCATGTCTCTTTATTCTCTGCCGGCACAGGGCTGGGCACAGACTGTGTGCTTAATAAGTAACTGGTAAATGAATAATGAACGCCCATGAGGTGTATTTTAAACGTGGTTAAAAAAAATTCAGTGTTTCTGTGGGGCAGCATGGAAGGGTCAGAGACAGGTTGGAGGAAGAGACTCTGGGTGCCACTTCCTGGATCACGTTTCAGTAGCAGTGCAAGCCCTGCCCAACATTCCCTGCTCCCTTCTCCGCTTTATTTTTTATGAGCATAAATAGCTTTTCTTAACCTACTATTTTATTATGAAAGTTTTCAAGTATTCAGAAAAGTTGAATTATAGCATCTAATTTTTTAATGAACTTCCAAATAAGCTGCAGATATCAGTATCCAAACCCAAATAAACCCATTGCCGTCAAGTCGATTCCTACTCATGCTGTTGTTGTTAGGCTCCATCGAGTTGGTTCCGACTCATAGTGATCCTAGCTTTTGTGCATGGTATGAGTATGGGTCTTGTTTCATTTTTTTGCAGACGGATGTCCAGTTTTGTCAGTACCATTTGTTAAAAAGACTGTCATTTCCCCATTTAATGGACTTTGGGCCTTTGTCAAATATCAGCTGCTCATAGGTGGATGAATGTAGGTCTAGATTCTCAATTCTGTTCCATTGGTCTAAGTATCTGTTGTTGTACAAGTACCAGGCTGTTTTGACTACCACAGCGGTATAATAGGTTCTAAATTCAGGTAGTGTGAGGCCTCTTCTTCTTGAGTAATGCTTTACTTACCTGGCGCCTCTTCCCTTTCCATATGAAGTTGGTGATTTGTTTCTCCATCTCATTAAGAAATACCATTGGAATTTGGAACTGGATTGCATTCTGTCTGTAGATCGCTTTGGGTAGAACTGACATTTTCACAATGTTGAGTCTTCCTAACTACAAGCAAGGTATGTTTTTCCACTTATGTAGGTCTCTTTTGGTTTCTTGCAGTAGTGTCTTGTAGTTTTCTTTGGATAGGTCTTTTACATCTCTGGTTAGATTTATTCCTAAGTATTTTATCTTCTTGGGGGCTATTGTAAATGGTATTGATTTGGTGATTTCCTCTTGGAAGTTC